CACAAGGACTCAAATAGAGAGCAACAGAGTCCTTCTCAGACCATTTTTAGTTTACTTTCACACTATCTAACTATATTTTTGTACCCATTAACCATCCCACTACCCCCACCCCCAGCCCTACTACCCTTCCCAGCCTCTGGTAAGCATCATTCTATCCTCTATCTCCATGAAGAACTTTATTTCTTTTCCTTTTTTTTTTCTTTTAAAGAGACATGTTCTTGCCCTCTTACCCAGGCTGGAGTGAGTGCAGTGGTGCAATTACAGCTCACTGCAGTCTCCAGCTCCTGGGCTCAGGGCATCTTCCTGCTTCACCCTCCCTACTAGCTGGGACTAGGGGCATGCACCACCACGCCCAACTGAAGAACTTTATTTCTTAAAGTTCCTTATTTCTCTCAGATGACAAGAAATCTGGAGATGAGATGTGCTGTAATGGGTAATATTAGTTTAGCTGCTTGATAAGATCACGAAGTATCCCTTCCCTTCTATCTTTTGCCTCCCCATCTTTAGCATGTTGCTTTTTTTTTTGAGACGGAGTCTGCTCTGTCACCAGCATGTTGCTTTTATCCTCAGGGTTGCAGAAGTTTTCCAGGGGCTCCAGGAACCATTGCTTCATTACCGGCAGGAAGAAGAAGGTGGGGTAAAAGAATGAAGAGTGGGCCGGGCACGGTGGCTCATGCCTGTAATCCTAGCACTTTGGGAGGCCGAGGCGGGTGGATCACGATGTCAAGAGATCAAGACCATCCTGGCTAACACGGTGAAACCCTATGTCTACTAAAAATACAAAAAAATTAGCCCAGCCTGGTAGTGGCACCTGTAGTCCCAGCTGCTCGGGAGGCTGAGGTAGGAGAATGGCGTGAACCCGGGAGGCAGAGGTTGCAGTAAGCCAAGATCATGCCACTGTACTCCAGCCTGGGCGACAGAGCCAGGCTCCGTCTAAAAAAAAAAAGCAAAAAAACCCCCCAAAAAACAAAAAAAAAAAGAGTGAAGAGTAAAGAGGTTTCTCCTAAGACTTACCCATTTGTTTGGAGAAGAAGAACCCTTCACTGGAACATCTGCTTATATCTTCTTTGTCAGAAATGGGGACATCTTGTCACTCAGATGAATCACTTGCCAATGAGAATAATATTACCTGATGGGATTAGATCAATTTTTTTTTTTTTTGAGATGGAGTCTCACTCTATCACCCAGGCCGGAGTGCAGTGGCATGATCTTGGCTCACTGCAACCTCTGCCTCCTAGGTTGAAGCGATTCTCCCAGCTCAGCCTCCCAAGTAGCTGGGATTACAGGCATGCGCCACCATGCCCAGCTAATTTTTGTAGTTTTAGTAGAGATGGGGTTTCATCATATTGGCCAAGCTGGTCTCGAACTCCTGACCTCAGGTGATCTGCCCATTTTGGCCTCCCAAAGTGCTGGGTTTACAGGCGTGAGCCACTGTGCCCTGCCAGATCAATTGTTATTTGTCCTTTGAGGCTGGGGTCAAAACTCACTTTTCCTAAAATAGGGGGGGATCTCTGCTGCTCCCTGAACCACTTGGGGTTCTGTGGTGAGGCAAGCATGGAGGGTGGGTAGTTAATTGGCAGTATCTGCTGTAATAGCTACCCATTTTTTGTTGCTTTACCTTTTCCCCTTGCTTAGCAGGATTGGTAATCCTCTTATCATTTATTTTTACCCACTATTAATTTGAAAGTTTTATAATTCTAAGTAGTGATTGCCTCTCTGTTTCTATCAGTCACAATTAAATCGCTGTTTCTTTGCTACTATATTGCTTGTAACATACTTAAAAATAGCAATGTACTCCTATATATATCTGGAGAATTACTGCTGCCATGCACATATAGAAAAGCCTGAAATTTCAGTAGATTAATATGATGAAGGTTTATTACTTAACTATTTCACGGTTTGATGTGGGTTGGGTATTTCTTCTGTGTAACTTGCTTTCAAACATTGGCTCATGGATCAGGCTGCTTTTTTCCTTGAAATTCCACCATTTATTTCCAGCTGGGTGGACAAGAGTGAAAATGTGGAGAAGGCACACCAGCTGCTAACTGTCTTAGCCTGAAAATGGCACAACGAATCCCTTCCCTGACATTCCGTAGACTAGAATTCAATCACTTGGCCCCACAGAACTGAAGGGAAGCTGAGGAATGTAATCAGTCATCTGTGGGCTGAGGAAGAGACATGGGGTGGTGGACATTGCATTGTCACTGTCCTAAATTGTCATTCTGGCCATCCACACATTTCATTCTTCTCCTGCCTCTAAAATACACTCACCACCTCTTACAGGGGACGCCTTCAGGTCCCAGCCAGTCACTGCATCCAGCTCAAAGTCCACTGTCTCTGGGGTTCTGCACTCGTCTCCATCAGGTCTGAATGTGCTGAGGAGACATCATTTAAACACCTGTCCCCCGTAAGGCACTGTACACAGTATTGGAGCAGGGTCAGAATACCCACTAAGGAAATGCCACCTGGAGAAGTGGAGAACGTGAAAGTCACAGTCTCCAGTCTGTAGCATTTCTGAAGTCCTACAGGTCAGGACCATGACGTTTCCCTGCCTTGCAATGAAGATAACTCCTTGAGTGAACATTGACTCCAGCCTGGATGAGGCTTTTTGTCTATAATTCCCCTTGGCCTCCTCTGAAGTGAGTGTTGAGGATCACACCCTCTAGACCAGTGAAGCCTTTGAAACCTGCCTGCTGGTCATCAGACTTGGATGCCCAAGGGCCATTTAAGACATGAACAACCAAAGATTTTTTTAATCCAGGCTCAGAAACTTAGATGGCTTCTGTTTGCTTCCATGTCCCAGTAACGGCATCTAAAATTCTTTTCTAGACATATTTCTCAACTTGACGTTCTTCCTTTGCCCCTTCACCTTTGCGCCTCTCAGTTTCACCTGAAGGACATCTTCCTTGAAGCTTTTTCTAAAAATAAGTGTGAGAGATCACACTTTTTTTTTTTTTTTTTTTTTTTGAGACAGAGTCTCACTCTGTCGCCCAGGCTGGAGTGCAGTGGTGCAATGAGAGATCACATTCTTAATGTGGCTGTGTCAGTCTGGTTTCTCCGAGGAGTAGAGACAGGATGGGATTAATCATACAAGGTTTTATTAAGGGAAATGTCTGGGAGAGAAAAAGGGCAGGGAACTGGAGGAGGCTGAGGGAATCATTGCAAGCTTGACCTTGAGTGAAGGAGAGGGCAAGGGACGGTGGGTGGAGGTGTTATAGGTGGTTGTGCAGTCCAGGGAAAGCGATCTTTTGGCAAGGAGGTGGGCGTCTCCTGGGAATGAGCCTGGCATCTTCAATAAAAGGCTGAGCAGCCTCTGGGAAGCAGGGCCTTGGGTAAACGCAAGGGCACAGGAGTTGCGGGGCTTAGTCAGTGATGCTCCCTGTGGTTGAAGGTGGACGGAGCACATCCTCATGGTCACCACAAGAACTTCACAGAGCCTGACCTGCAGGTGCTATGTGCCCTTCATCACTTTATTCACTTTAGAATTTTCCTGTGCTCTGTCATGCAAAACCTTTAAAAATTCCATCTCTTGCAATGTGGGTCCTGCTATATGATGAGATGCTTTTTCCAATCCTACAACATCTCAAATTTCTGTATTTGCTCTATTCCCTTTTCATTTCAGCTTGCAAAGCACTCAGTTCTTTCTTGAATTCGTTTCTTTCTCTTAACATCTTGCCAAACACAGTCACTAGCAACCAACACTTATTCCTCACGTTCTATTTTTCAGCCTCCTCCCTTAGAATGAAAAGTTCAGAAAGCATGGCGTCTGCCTTTGAAGTTACAGTGTCTAGCTTTTAAAGTGAATGTTTTGCTGCTGCATAACATGGATCTCTAGCCTGTTAAATATCACTCACCACCCAACTGCTAAGGCAGTAACACAGTTTATATTTCTGTTTCAGCAGCACCCTGCTTTTGGGATACATTTTCATTTTAGTCCTGTAATCAGTGGAATCTGCTGCAATAGGCAAACTGAGAAATCTCAGTGGCTGAATTTAACACATTCTTATTTCTTGCTAGTGTTACAGTCTGTTGTGGGCCAGGGAGACTCAGGGCCCCAGGCTGCGTCATCTCACTCCACCACCTGATTCCTTGTTTCTAGCCAGTGGACGTGAAGGAGAGAGTGCAGAGCGGGCCCACTATCTCCTAACTGCCTTGGCCAGGGAGTGACACAAGTTTCTTCCTCCAGAGAGTGCTGCAATGTCCCTTGATGTTCTTGTAGCAAAGTCCAAAGCTTGTACTGCTCACAGCACAACAGCCAATAAGTTGAGAGACAAGGCGTGGGGCAAGGAAAGCAACTTTATTTCGGAGACCCAGCAAACCGAGAAGATGGCAACTAGTGTCCTAAAGAACCTCCTAAGCTAATATGAATTTTGGGTTTCTTTTATGTTAAGGGAAGGGGGAAGAGGTGGGGGGTTGAGATGGAAGGGTGAGTAATGACTGTGGACATCTGGGTGGCAGCGAGGGTAAACTTCTTTGTCCTTAATCAGGTCACAATGCTCTTATAAATTTTTAACATGACATTGTTACTTGTATGTACACCCTCTTTGTCTCTTGAGGGCTTCGTTTTGGGGAGGGGCTATTATCATCCATGCTTTAAACTATACACTAAATTCCTCCCATTGTTAGCTCGGCCTATGTGCGGAGGTAAGCAAAAGCAGTTAACCTAAAAGATATCGCTGCCTGGGGCCGGGAGGTTAGGAGTAAATTGGAGCTAGTCATCCTCGGCCTCCTTTTCACTGTACATTCTCTCTGCTGGAGATAGAGAGCTCAGTCTTGGATGCCCACCCCTGCAGGGTGGTGTGGCTCTTGCATTTCTCTCTAGAGGAATAGGGAGTGGGAGATGGTTGTGGACCTGCCAGCAGGCCAGTGTCTCACTGGCATTCTTTTTGTAGATGACAGTGTTCTGTAGTGTGATGTGATGGTTGTGTACCACTCGGCAGCTTAGGTCATTCCTTACTGATTGGAAATCAAACCTGTTTCTTCTTCCTTCTATTGTGAAGCAGCAAGTGACAAGCACATCCAATGGCTCCTAGGGGCAGATGGCGAGGTCTGGGTCTGGATCATGGGAGAAGGCCCTGGTGACAAGCCCTACGAAGCGATCTCTGAGGAGCTGATTGCAGAGAGGGCGCGGCTGCAGGCACAGAGGGAAGCTGAGGAGCTCTGGTGAGGGGTGCTATGGGGTGTTGGGTGGGGCCTGGGCATGGAAGCTATGCTTAGCCCCATACACGGCTAATTCTTGTATTTTTAGTAGAGACAGAGTTTCATCATGTTGGCCAGGCTGGTCTCAAACTCCTGACCTCAGGTGATCCACCCGCCTTGGCCTCCCAAAGTGCTGGGATTACAGGCGTGAGCCACTGCGCCTGGTCTTAATGATGGTATTTTAATTGAGAAATTCTAAAATCATGTAAACAACACTGAAAACTATACAAAATAAAGAACAATTCACACCCACCCCCTAAGGTAACCACAGTGAATGTTTAGTTAATACATGCTTTGTAAATTGTTTTATTCACACCTTGACAAATTGACTTATAGATCCAAAACGCAACTTAAGATTACTATATGGTACAGGTATTTATTATATGATATGAGAAACCCAACTTATTGATCTTATTGATGGACATTTGGATTGTTTACCATTTTTTATATTATAAAAATCCTCTGGCAAGCATCTTTTACATGCATCTTTGTTTTATTATAAATTTATTATTTATTTATCATTTTGTTTTGTTTTTTTGAGACAGGGTCTCACTTTGTTTCCCAGGTTGGAGTGCAGTGTCATGATCAAGGCTCACTGCAGCCTTGATCTCCTGGGCTCAAGTGATCCTCCCTCCTCAGCCTCCTGAGTATCTGGGACACAGGTGCATGCCACCAGACATGGCTAATTTTTTAAATTTTTAGTAGAGATGGTGTCTCACTATGTTGCCCAGGCTGGGCTTGAACTGGCTTCAAGCGATCCTCCTGCCACTGCCTCCCAAAATGTTGGGATTACAGGCACGCACCACCGTGCCTGACCTACATGCATCCTTGTACACTTGCGTGAGTGTAGAAAATCTAGGAAACGGGGTTTCTAGCATAGTTTTCCTGGCTTCCAGAACAATTGTGCCGATTTACACTCCCATGCTTGAGACTGCCTGTTTCTCCCCGTCTTTGCCAACATTGGATTCTGATAGACCAAGGAAAAATTGCTCATTGTTTTTATTTCAAGTTCTATTGTCATGTGGTCCTTCAGTTTTTCACACAAGCTTATACCTGTGGTGCTCTCTTGGTAGGAGACAGAAGGAGGCAGAGATCACCAAGAAGTTCCGGGATGCTCTGGCCAACGAGAAAGCCCGGATCTTGGCAGAGAAGTGGAAAGTGGAGATGGAAGACCGCAAGGCAGCCAAAGTCTTGGAGGAACGCATCCAGGAGGAATTCAAGGTGGGCCAGTGCATAGGGCCCCTGTGTGCGGCCAACTGATTAGCCCCGAGACCACTGGGACTGGCCTCTGGTTTGGATCAATCCTTGGCCATTTGTTGGTACTGGGTGCTTTATGAGAATAGAAATCTGTCATGTCTGAGCAGGAAGGACATTGACACACCATTTGGGCCAATCCACTTCTTATTTTACAGATGAGGAAACTGAGGGTCAGACAGAAGAGACTTGGCCAAGTTCACAGGTAGTAGTGGTTAGGGATAGAGTCAGGATCAGAACTGGGGACTTTTGCATCCCAAACCACTGGTCCAGAAATGAGGCCTTGTTTGTAATATTCAGGTAATAATAACACTCTTCTGGAAATATTTATGAGGATTCAAGGAGATGATATAGTCACATTTTGTGGTCTAGGATAAGGAGTTATTGGTCTATTGACAGGTGCTGGTTAGAACAAATAGTAGGTTTTCTGGTAACATTGAGCTTTTTTGTTTTTTTTTTGAGACGGAGTCTCGTTCTGTCGCCCAGGCTGGAGTGCAGTGGCCCTATCTCCGCTTGCAGCACTGCAAGCTCCGCCTACCAGGTTCACGCCATTCTCCCACCTCAGCCTCCCCAGTAGCTGGGACTACAGGCGCCCGCAACCACACCCAGATAATTTTTTGTATTTTTAGTAGAGACGGGGTTTCACCGTGTTAGCCAGGATGGTCTCGATCTCCTGACCTCATGATCCACCCACCTCAGCCTCCCAAAGTGCTCGATTACAGGCGTGAGCCACCACGCCCCGGTCAACATTGAGTTTTTTAATGGAGGTCTAGAGTCATCCTAGGGACATGACCTTATACTGCTAGAAGCCATGGCCAGAGTTTGATGGAGTTGTTACCTGTGTGCAGAGAGTCATGCAGCTGTCAATATACTCATGGCATTTTCCCATTTAAAAAATTTTAAAACTTTGTTTTGCCCCCATACTAATTAGATAGTGAGGACATTGGCCTTTTCTTTTCTTTCTTTCTTTCTTCTTTTTTTTTTTTTTTGAGACGGAGTCTCGCTTTGTTGCCTGGGCTGGAGTGCAATGGCACAATCTTGGCTCACTGCAACCTCTGCCTCCCGGTTTCAAGCGATTCTTCTGCCTCAGCCTCCCGAGTAACTGGGAGCACAGGCGTGTGCCACCACTCCCAGCTAATTTTTATATTTTTAGTAGAGACGGGATTTCACCAGGTTGGCCAGGCTGTTCTCGAACTCCTGACCTTGTGATCTGCCTGCCTCGGCCTCCCAAAGTGCTGGGATTACAGGCATGAGCCACCATGCCTGGCCAACGTTGGCCTTTTCAAATCATGTATGTTGCAAATATTTTTATCAGCGTTGTTTTTTTCTTAAATTTGGTTTCAGTATTTTCAGATGTACATAGGATTAAACTTTTAATTGGCTAAATCTATCAGTCTAGTTTTCTTTCATTATTTGCTTCATGCTTAGAAGGATCTGTGACATCACAAGCTTTTAAAAATCTACATTGTTTATATGTCTTTCCTGATTTTATTTCTCTCCAACTAGTTTTCCTTCGCTTTGGAGGGTATTGTAATAGAGGGCTCTTACTTTATTTTCTTCCAAATGGTGAGCCAGTAGTTCCCATATTATTTATTATGTAATCTGTCTTTTCCCTTCTCATTTGACTTGCTGCCTTGATTGGATTCTTACTTTTTACTTACTTGTGGGCCTTTTTGTGGATTTTTCTTCTCTGATTTATTATTCCTGAGCCAGACTTAATTGTTTAATTCTTGTAGCTTTAAAATAAATTTTAACATCTGTTAAGGTAAGAACCCTACCATTACTCTTCATTTCCAAAATGTCCTTGGCTAATCTCACCCATTTTTTTTTTTTTTCTGCCAGGGAAACTTGAATTATTTTGTCATTATCTCCCACCCTCTTAACAACAAAGACCTCGGTGACTTTCATTGGAATTGCATCAATTTATAGCTGTCTTTGTGAAAAATGGACATTTTTACACTACTGAATCATTGAATCTTCTTGTTCAGAAGTATGATATGTTATTCAAAGCTTCTTTTTGTCTTTGCTAATTTTTTTTTTTTTTTTGAGACGGGGTCTCGCTCTGTCGCCCAGGCTGGAGTGCACTGGCCGGATCTCAGCTCACTGCAAGCTCCGCCTCCCGGGTTTACGCCATTCTCCTGCCTCAGCCTCCCGAGTAGCTGGGACTACAGGCGCCCGCCACCTCGCCCGGCTAAGTTTTTGTATTTTTTTTAGTAGAGACGGGGTTTCACCATGTCAGCCAGGATGGTCTCGATCTCCTGACCTCGTGATCCGCCCGTCTCGGCCTCCCAAAGTGCTGGGATTACAGGCTTGAGCTACCGCGCCCGGCCTGTCTTTGCTAATTTTTTAAAACACCTTTAAAGGTGCTGACCACCTAATCCCAAACTTTTTCAATAACTTTTATCTATATACCCATATGCTTCTACTTTTTGGACCTTGGTAAAATTTATTTTCTTTAAATGCTATTTTTCTTTGAGATAGGGTCTCACTCTGTTGCCCAGGCTGGAGTGCAGTGGCACAATCTCAGCTCACTGTAACCCCTGTCTGGGCTCAAGTGATCCTCTCACCTCAGCCTCCCAAGTAGCTGGAACTGCAGGCATGCACCACCATCACACTCAACTATTTTTTGTGTTTTTTGTAGAGACAGGATTTCACCATGTTGCCCAGCTGGTCTTGAACTCCTGAGCTCAAGCCAACCACCTACCTTGGCCTCCCAAAGTGCTGGGATTATAGGTGTGAGCCACCACGCCTAGCTATACATTTCTTTTTAAGTTAAATTTTAGGTTTAATGTTCGTTGTTGCTATTGTGAATGAGATTGTACCCATTATTTTTAAACCTATTGCACTTGCTAGTTATATATTTGGATCCACAGCCTGTGGTTGAGACCCTCAGTGAACCTGAGAGTCTGGCCAGATGGCCTAGTGATCCACCATGAGTGTTATTATTCTCCTTGTTTAATTTTCCCATGAGTTGTAAATTTTTTAGCAGATTTTCCTGAGTTTTTATTATTAATTAATTAATTAATTTGTTTGAGATGGAGTTTCGCTCTTGTCGCCCAGGCTGGAGTGCAGTGGTGCAATCTCGGCTCGCTGCAACCTCTACTTCTCAGGTTCAAGTGATTCTCCTGCCTCAGCCTCTCAAGTAGCTGGGATTGCAGGCACCCACCACCACGCCCAGTTAATTTTTGTATCTTTAGTAGAGATGGGCTTTCACATATTGGTCAGGCTGGTCTTGAACTCGAGACCCCAAGTGATCCACCTACCTTGGCCTCCCAAAGTACTGGGATTACAGGCATAAGCCACCGTGCCTGGCCTCTTGTGAGTTTTGTTTTGTTTTGTTTTGTTTTTTGAGACGGAGTCTCGCTCTGTCGCCCAGGCTGGAGTGCAGTGGCCGGATCTCAGCTCACTGCAAGCTCTGCCTCCTGGGTTTATGCCATTCTCTTGCCTCAGCCTCCCGAGTAGCTGGGACTATAGGTGCCCGCCACCTCGCCCGGCTAGTTTTTTGTATTTTTTAGTAGAGACGGGGTTTCACCGTGTTAGCCAGGATGGTCTCGATCTCCTGACCTCGTGATCCGCCCATCTCGGCCTCCCAAAGTGCTGGGATTACAGGCTTGAGCCACCGCGCCTGGCCTCTTGTGAGTTTTTTAAATGGAGTATAATGTGGAAAACAGTATTTGGAAACAGTATTTACCCTCCACACATTTTATTTTTTTAAAATTTCAAACATGAAGAAAAGTTGAAAGAAAAAATAAAATGAATACTCACATATTCTCTGTTTAAATTCACCAATATTAACATTTTAACACATTTGCCTTCTCTCTCGGGCAAATGTGGTAAAATGTTAATAATTAGTGAATTTAAATGGAGAATATTTATATACTCACACTCATATACACTTTGTTGTTGCTATTGTTTTACTAAACAATTTTAATGGAAGTCATGGATGATGATACTCTAACCCAGGGGTTGGCAAACTATTTTCTGTAAAGGCCCAGATAGTAAATATTTTAGGCTTTGGGAGCCAGCTGTCTCTGTCACACAACTACTCAACTCTGCTGTTGTAGCACAATAGCAGCTACCGACAATATAGAAACAAAAGGATGTGGGCTGGGCACGGTGGCTCACACCTGTAATCCCAGCACTTTGGGAGGCTGAAGCGGGTGGATCACTTGAGGTCAGGAGCTGACATGGTGAAACTACTAAAAAAACAAAATAGTAAAAATACAAAAATTAGCCAGGCCTGTAATCCCAGCTACTCATGAGGCTGAGGCAGGAGAATCGCTTGAACCCAAGAGGCAGAGGTTGCAGTGAGTGGAGACTGAGCCACTGCACTCCAGCCCTGGGAGCCTTAGTTTGCAGATTCCTGATCAAAACCTAAGAAGTTCAGCATGCATCTCCTATGAAGAAGGACATTTCCCTCCACAGCCACAAAAGTCATTATCACACCTATTGAAATGAACAATAACTCCATGATAGTATTTCAAATCCAACCCACAGTGGAGAGATACTTGTTTATGTTGCTGGGTTTTGCATATGATTATTTAAGTCTGCTGGGGAAGAAAAGCAATTATTTTTATCTCTTTCCTAACCATGAGAGCACCTGCTCTAATTTCTGGCCTTCCTCTCCCCCAGATGGGGGCTGAGCTCCAAATACTGGAAGAGTGGCTCTGTGGAGCTGGAGTCCTGGGGCTCAGCTCATGAGGAGATCATGAAGGGATTAAGGTATGCGTGGAGGTTTTCTGCTCAGTGGTCTCCTTGAGAACCTCAGTGACAGAGTGGGTGAGAAATTGTGGGATGTTCTATGCTGGGGCTCACGAAGGATCACTAGGGCCATCTGGCCAGACTCTCAGGTTCACTGAGGGTCTCAACCACAGGCTGTGGATGTTATTGCCAAGGAAGGTTATGACTATTATGTGTTTGTTTTGGTTCAAATATTAATTTGCTAAATGTGAATGTTTAAACTTTAT